AGGATGTACTCCGACAGTTTGGGTTTCTTCTATACTGGGTCCACATTTCACAACAATGTGTGACGACGGTCTTGTATCAAATTCTGGTCAATGGTTCGCCTTCCCACCCTTTCCATCCTAAATGTGGCCTACGATAGGAAGATCCGTTATCTCCTTATCTTTTTGTTCTTTGCGTGGAGATATTCTCGTTGATGCTTCGGCGAGATGAGCAGAGGGGTTTGTTACAGGGGCTGCGTATTTCTCATCGAGCCCCTTCGGTTTCTCATCACTTCTTTGCGGATGACGCTTTGCTGTTTTTTCATACTTCTCCCTCTACTTGTGATCAAATCCTTTCGGTGACTAATGAGTTCTGTTCGGTCTCAGGGCAGTGATCAACCTACAAAAATCCTTTGTTCAGTTTAGTTCAAATACTCCTGATGATTACCGGGACTATTTGGCTTCTTTTCTTAGAATGCAGGCTTGTCCGATCATCCGGGATTACTTGGGCCTCCCCGTTGATTTGGGTCGTAGTAAATGCAAGGACTTCCAGTTCATGGTGGACAAGGTTGTACAGCGGTTGTCGACGTTTACTTCTCTTTATTTATCGCCTATGGCGAAGCTGGTGATTATAAACTCTATTATGATTGCTTCTTTCAATCACATTCTCTCAGTTTTCAAGGTTCCTTCTACAATTTGTGATCGAGTGGATTCATTTCTCACTCGATTTTGGTGGAAATCAAATAAAGATGCTAAGGGGTTGGCCTTAGCCTCTTCTTCGAAGACACATCTCCCTAAAGGGTTAGAGGGTCTGGGTATTCGTCGTCTGCGTTCCTTTAATTTAGCTTTGCTTGCTAAACAATCTTGGCGCTTAAGGTTTCATCCCCAATTGCTAGCTTCTCGTGTTTTAAAAGCTAAGTACCCTTCCTTCTTATCCTCTAAGCCTACTGTCACCTACTCTAGTCCTTCCTTGGGTAGTAAAGGTTTATTAGAAGGTGGTTTATGTTTTGGGTGTTTTTGTCCCTCGGGAGAATTGCAGCTCAAAAATTGGTTGCGTGCAGCCTGTACCTGCAAAACAACGGAGACTCTGGGTGGTTGGAGCTCCACCTCCAACGATCAAGTTAGTACTTGAAGATAAACGGGAGAAAGTGCGGAAAAAAAGGTGAGATCTTTTCGGATTCCGAGATCAGGTAATTCTCTGACGTAAGAGAATGTAGGTTATGCTGTAATAATTGTAGATACCCCAAAAAATGGGGGAAATCTCCCAATTTATAGGGTCATTGGAAAATGTGTCCCTAATTAGGTCACTCTGACCTAATTATTCTGGGCTGCGTTGAATTATGGCTTTCTCAGGATTTGGGCCATTGAAGGCCGTTTTTTTCTCCCAAGTTCTAGGAGGGACACGTGTCAGAAGGAGATTAGCCCAATTCGGACCAACAAGGGTATGACACATGTCAAGACCTGATTGGACCACGTGGCATGGGTAAAATTACCCAAAACATTTGCCCCTCATAGTAGAAGCAGAATATCGTTCAATGGCTTCAGTGACTTGTAAATTAAAGTGGTTGAAACGAATTCTTAGTGAATTATGTGTTAAACATGAGAATGGGATGCACCTTTATTGCGATAGTCATTTAGCGTTATACATTGCGCAAAATCCAGTGTTCCATGAACGAACAAAACATATTGAATCAAATTATCATTTTTTCGGGATGCGATTACAGATGGGACGATTAAACTTTCGTATGTCTCTACGACGGTACAGTTGGCAGACATTTTTAGAAGGTTTTGAGAAAAGCTAAGTTTGAGTATCTTCTTCGTAGGTTAGGAATTTGTGACCCATATGCTCCAACTTGAGGGGGGTGTATTGGGATAATATCAAATATGTGAATATTGTAAAAGATATTATTTTGGTGTATTTTAGGAAGTTTATCTTTAGAGAATATTAGGGCTTGCCTCCCAAGTATTCTAGGTCTATATATTGATGTAATGTGGCCGTGATATTGAGATGAGAAATACAGAAATACAAGCTTCGTGATTAATTTGACAAATATCAAGTCCGGTCATTTTGGATAGCGGGTATCAGATCGGGTTAAATTCAGGTCGAGTTAGGATAACATGTCTACACCTGTGTACAGACCACAATACCTACACCCCTACTCCCCAAAAATTTTGTTATTTTGTTGTTTTTAACATTTTCTTTTTTAAATTCCATAAAATCAACACACAAACCCTGATGTTTTATTATTTTGTAAAAAAAAATAGCCTTCCTTAATTTTATTGGAAGATAGTAAATTTGATAGTAACGTTAACATTTTTTGTAGTAATTTATTCTCAATTAAGGGTAATTTTAATTTTTTATGATTTTGGTTGTATTTTAATTTGTATTTTTATTGGATTAATGTTATAAAACTTACTATATATGATTAGTCTTATATACCTTCGAGCATTTTTTAAGGATTATATAAAATGGTAACATTTATAATATATAACTATATAAGGGTAATTTGAAATACTTTTAAGGTAACTTTAATCAGTTACTACAATAAGTTAATAAAAGTCCGCCTTATTCAAGAATTTTTTCTTTGGATTTCTTATATATATATATCAATTTTTTATCTGTGAAGTCAACTTATACCTGAGCTTAGCTCATTAATTTTCGAAAATCATCTGTTGTCTTCACTAGCAGATTCTTAATTCTCGAAAAATCTATTTGACTAGTTTTTTTTTAAACATGACCCCTAAATCCTATTTTATTTGGTTGATATCTAGGAGTATTTACAACTATTAGAACTTTAGTAAAGATACTATTGAAGGACCAACTCAACCAAAAGATTAGACTAATGGTTGAGGCTTAGAAATATGTTTTACACACTATCATGCCCCCTATCACGAGAGCCCATTGGGCTTGAAGTGTGGATGCAGCATGGGCGACCCTTCTTATACCCAATGCTTAATATTCCAATTTGAAAGGAGGGGCCAATAAGATTTGAATCTGTGACCTTTGTGTCACGCTGACTATTGATACCATGTTAGTGGACCATCTTAATCAAAAGCTTAAACTGCTGGTTGAAGCTTAGGAATATGTTTTACAAGATCAATATATATTAATCATGTTTAGTACCCGTTTTTAGTGGACAAATTAGTCTATAAAGGTTCCACTTAAATGTTTGATAATTCTTTTAATCAAAAACTAAGAGTCGCCACCTTATTTTTACCTGAATAAAGGACGAATTATTAAACTGTCAATTTGAAGAAATGGTACTAAAACTAACTTCTTACTCTATAAAAAGAAAATTTTAAGGCATAGTCTTGGGTTCGGGATTTAGGCTAAGAGAATAATCGAACGTCTGGAACTCGCCTTCTCTTCTCGTTCTAAAGAACGGGCTCTTAATAATGCTTTGTTTAAAGTCAAGTTTTAAGGCATGTTAGTCACATATAATGATATAATAATTAATACAAGGTGAGCGCGTTGACTTTCTATCTTCTCTCTCTTTTCCATGGTTCTTTATCTTTGATTGGTTTCTTCAACAATTTTGAATTTTAATGGCTAAAAAGAAGAAGCAGACTATTTCTACACCTCAAGTAGCGCAACAAAAGACTGCTCATGAAGCTTTTGATTCGATATTGCAGAATTTGAGAAACTCAGGCACATCTTTTGTTCCTAGTCCGATTCAAGAGGTGGATGAATTGGTTACTCCGGCGCCGGTGTTAGTGCATCCAGCTTGTGGAGCTATTCCCATAAGTGATGCTGAGACCATTGCTCTCTTTGCTAAAGCTACTGTTAGGCCGGATTTAAGACAATCCAATGGAACAGTACCTAGTGTTTCTGGGTTTACTGTTCCATTGGGTGCTGGCGGATCTGAGCATCGTGCTGAGCCAGGAATTCATCCTCGCCATTCCTCACCCTCTTTGGAGCAGAACACGCACAAGAATAGTGAGGATCGAGCTGCTTCTTCCCCTGCTCTGGAGCTGAATTTGCGCAAGAACAATGAGGATCGAATTGCTCCTTTTACTGGAAATTTGGCTGCTAAAGGGGCTTCTTTGTCTTTTGTTGCTCCGAAAGTCCAGGAAGGGAAACAAATTGTTGAGCTACAGGCAGCCGAGCTTGAGGCAGGTAATCAAAAATGGGCTAATGCTTTAGTTTTCTATGTGGTTGGCTTTTACCCCACTATTGCTGCTGTTCTTCGATTTTTTGCTCAACAATGGAATGATATGCAAAAACCAGATGTTTATTGGCATGATGATGGGTACTTTATCGTTAATCTTTGTTCTAGTGATGATAAAGATTCTATACTTTGTTCTGGTCCTTATATGTTCCTTGGAAAACCAGCAATAGTGAAGCCTTGGTGTCCTAATTTTGATTTTAATGCTGAAATTCTTAGAATTGTTCCTCTCTGGGTTAAGTTCCCTAATCTCCCACTTAATTGTTGGGGATCTGACACTCTTAGCCGCATTGGTAGTTTGCTTGAAGTTCCAATTTGTGCTGATGAATGTACTACTAGACAACTTAGAGTGTCTTTTAGGGTTCTAATTGAAATCGATGTTACAAAGCCTATGCCTAATTCTGTATGGGTTGAGAGCCCTTCAAAGGAACTATTGGAGCTCAAAGTAGTGTATGAGTGGGCCCCACCTTTTTGTTCTAAGTGCAACAAGGTTGGTCATGATTGCTCTATTAAGCCTGCTATGTCTAAGCAGGTTCCTAAGCAGCCGGCTCCTGTTCCTCCTGAGCAAAAGCAGGTCTGGGTTCCTAAGCCTAGCCAAGCCCCTGCTCCCGCTACTACTGTTGATGTTGGTGCTTCTGTTCATGGACAATCTATCATTACTCCACAGGTTCATACTTCTCAAAATTCAGATGAGGGGTGGAGAATAGTTGGAAGGAAGACAAAAAGCCAACAAATTAGAGTTCATCAACCTCCTTCTACCTCTAATGCTTTTGTTGCTTTATTTGCAAATGAAATGGATGGTGCAGGTGGTTTCACTATAAATCCTAGCGGGGGTGAGGTTAATCCCCCTTTGGTGTCATGATTTACTCTATTTGGAATGTCAGGGGCCTGAATGACCCTGGAAAAGTTGCCTCTGTAAAGAGGTTGCTTCATTCTCATTCAGTTGATGTTGTTAGTTTGCTTGAAACAAAAATCAAATTGAAAAATTTTCTCACTTATCAGAGGAAGCTTGGCTCTTCTTGGCTTTGGTTGTGTAATTATGACCATTCTCCCAAAGGGAGGATTTGGCTTGGTTGGAATACAGATAGAGTAACTGTTAATGTCTTGAAGGTTCATGAACAGTTCATTCATTGTAGTGTTTCTTTTAAGGACCTCTCTACTCAAATTCATCTTACTGTTGTTTATGGGCTTCACTCCATTCATGATAGGCTTCCTTTGTGGGAAGGTCTTAGAAGCATCTCTATTCAGCATTCTCCTTGGCTTTGTGCTGGTGACTATAACTCTGTCCTTCATACTTCAGATAGGCTTCATGGTACTGATGTTACTAATTATGAGACTAGAGATTTTCAGAGTCTGGTTGATGATTTGGACCTCACTGAGATTAAGAGCAAAGGAGCCTTCTACTCTTGGTCAAATAAGGCTCACACTGGTCCTAGAACTCTTCCTAGGATTGATAGAGTCTTTGGTAACCAAGCTTGGCTGGCCTCTCATGGGCATGTTGAGACTGTCTATCTCCCCCCTTCTTTATCTGATCATAGTCCAGTTCTGTTGGATGTATGTTCTGCCTCTGTTGGGAGAGGTTAGCCATTCAGGTTTCTAAACTGTATTACTAATCATCCTGATTTTCTTGATATTGTTTCTCAGGCTTAGGGTTCTGGTTGTTCTGTTTGGCAGAAGCTTAATTCTGTGAAGTCTAGTTTTAACTCTCTTAATAGCAAGCAGTTTGGACACATTGAGGAAAAGATTGATGAAGCTAATATTGAGCTTTCTGGAATTCAGAACTTAATGGCTCAGAATCCGATGATTTGGATCTTTATGCTAAAGAATCTGATGCTATTAAGGTTGTCAAACACTAGAATGATATTCAGGAAAGCATCTTCAAACAAAAATCAAGGATCAATTAGATTAAGCTTGGAGATGGCAATTCTCATTATTTCTTCTCTGTGATGAAGAGTAGACAAGCAAGGAATAGAATTGACTCCATTTTTTATTCTAATCAAGTGTTGCTCAAGGATCCGGATGCTATTTCTCATGAAATTATCTCCTTCTATAAGTCTCTTTTAGGGACTCAGGCTCCTTGGCTCCCTGCTGTTGACCTGGTCACTATAAGGAGGGGTAAGCAGCTTAGCTTTGCTGCTCAGAGCTATCTCATTAGGCCTATTTCTTATGATGAAATTGATGATGCCCTTAAGGGAATTGATAACACTAAAGCTCCTGGTATTGATGGCTTTAATTCCCTTTTCTTTAAGAGAGCTTGGCATATTGTGAAAGATGATATTTATACTAGTGTTATTGATTTTTTCACTAAAGGGACCTTGCCTAAGCAATGGAATTGTACAACTATCACTCTTGTTCCTAAAATCCCTAATGCTTCTCATGTTAAGGATTTTAGATTTATAGCTTGTTGTATTGTGGTTTATAAGCTCATTTCTAAAATCATAACTGCTAGACTTGCTGCTATCATTGGTGAGGTGATTGATGATGCTCAGGCAGGGTTCATTCCAGGCAAGCACATTGGTGACAATATCATTCTTACAACTGAATTGATCAAAGTCTATGATCACAAATTTATCTCTCCTAGGTGCATGATTAAGGTGGATTTGAAAAAAGCCTATGATTCAGTTGAGTGGGGATTCTTGGTCACTGTTATGCAGGAGCTTGGTTTCCCTCAGAAATTTGTTAGCTGGATCTGGACTTGTCTTACTTCTGTCTTCTATTCTATTCTTATTAATGGTTTTCCTGCTCCTCCCTTTGAAGCTAAGAAAGGCCTAAGGCAAGGTGACCCTATGTCTCCCTTTCTTTTTGCTATTGGTATGGAATACCTCTCCAGATGCCTTGATGAGCTTAGGTTAACTCCTGATTTCAACTTTCATCCTAGATGTGAAAAGTTAAACCTAACTCACATGATGTTTGCTGATGATCTTTTAATGTTCTCTAGAGCTGATAGTGTTTCTGTTAAGCTCCTCTTCCAAGCCTTCTTAAAATTCTCAGGTGCCTCTGGACTTTCTGCTAATCTTGATAAAAGTGAAGTCTATTTTGGAGGAGTTCCTATTGATGTTCAGACAGAGCTGAGGGAGCTTCTTGGTGTTTCTCAAGGTACTATCCCTTTTAGGTATCTTGGGGTCCCTCTCTCTTCCAAGAAGCTTACTATTTCTCAGTGTAGGCCTTTAGTGGAGAAGGTGACTGCTAGAATCCAAGGGTGGATGGCTAAACACTTGTCTTATGCTGGGAGGCTTCAGTTGGTGAAGAGTGTGTTGTTTGGTATTCAGACATATTGGGCTCAAATTTTCATCTTACCAAAGAAAATTTTGAAAGTGGCCGAGGCTAGATTCAGATGCTTTCTTTGGACTGGTTCCTCTGCCCCAGCTAAAAAATCTTTGGTGGCTTGGAATAATGTATGTCTCCCTAAAGTTTGTGGTGGCTGGAACTTGCTTTCTCTTCCTGAATGGAATAAAGCAGCTGTCACTAAGTTACTTTGGGATATTGCTCACAAGGCTGATAATCTTTGGGTTAAGTGGGTCCATATCTATTACTTCAAGCATAGAGATTGTTGGACCACCCCTACCCCTGCTAAATGTTCTTGGTTCTTGAAGAAGATTTTGAGCTGTAGAGATGTTGTGAATGATCAAGGGGGATGGAATGGTTTCATGCAGGGCAACAAAGTGAAAATCAAGAAGCTTTATGCTACCATTAGACCTCAAGTCCCTAAGGTTCCTTGGAAGAGAGTCATTTGTCATAACTTGGCAACTCCGAAAAGTGTTTTTATCTTGTGGCTAGCTTTGTGGAATAGGCTTGTCACTAAGGATAGGTTGCTCTAATGGAACATTTCTTGTGATCCAAGGTGCTTCTTGTGTTTGAATAGCAATGAAAGTGTTCAACATCTATTCTTTGATTGTGAATACTCTAGACATGTTTGGAACAAGGTGTTGGGTATTTTACATGTTTCCAAGCCTGTTCAGCAGTTTAGTGATGAGATGATTGGATGAAGAAAATCTGCAGAAGTTCCAGATTGAAAAACAAAGTGATCCATGTAGCCTTTACTGAAACGGTTTATGGTATATGGATTCAGAGGAATGCAATCTTGTTTACTGGGTGCTGCAAATATGTTGATGCCCTTGTTAGGGATATTGTCTTTCATTTAGTCTGTAGAATCCCGGCGGGAAGCAAATTTTTGACTGTTTAGGGCTACTTCTGCTTCTCTGGTTTTCCGGTGTTGTTGCTGGTTCTTGATATTTCTGATTCCTAGTTTCTTAGTGCTGATTTTTAGTTTTGGGTTTGTTCTTGCTGGTTTTTCTTTTGATGCTCTTTTGGGTTATTGAGTGCTTTATTATTGCTGCTGGTTTGCTCTTTGAAGCTATTTTCAGTTTTTTTTTAAAAATATAAAGCTGTTGGCTGCTGCTTCTCTGCTACTACTTCTGCCCTGCTGGTTTGTTGCCCTGCTTCTGACTGCTACTGATCTGATGTTTCTGTTGTCCTGCTGCTCTGCTGTTCTGGTGCTGTGCTGCAGGCTACTGCCGCTTTTCTGCTGCTATTGCCCTGCTGCCTTGCTGCTTTGCTGCTGTTGGTGCACTATTGTGCTGCTGCTGTTCAGCTGTTGTTGTTGTTGCTGTTTGCCTACTGTTAAGCTGCTGTGATAGTCAGCAGCTGGTCTGCTGCTGCTGTTCTGTTGCCTGCTGCCTGCTGCTGAACTGATGTGATGCTGCTGCTCAGTGTTGTGTTGCTTTTGTTGCTGTTGCAGTTGTTTGCGGTTGTTGTTCTGGTTTCAGCTAGAGCTGCTGTTTTGGTTTTGGTTGCTGCTGTTTTGGTAGGTGGTGCAGTTTATTTGCTGCTGCTGGTCTGGTGTTTTGGCTAGGGTGGCAGCTAGCTTTGCTCTTCTGCTGGTTCTGTTCTTATTGTTGTTTGTTGGCTCTAGATGGCAGCTGGTCTGGTGTTTGCTAGGTGCTGCTATTCTGGGTGTGGCAGAGGTTACAAGCTTGTAGATTTTCTTGTAGATGCCTTGTCTCTAATAGAAAACCTTTGTTTGTTTAGGCTTTTGTTGTTTGCCTTGTAGTTTGCTGCTAGTGTTGTTGTCTGGTCCTGGTTTCCAGAACCCTTCCTAGAAGGTGGCTGGAAATTAGAGTCCAGTTTGTTCTAGGCCCTTCCTAGAACCCTTCCTAGAAGGTGGCTAGGATAGGATCTAGAACTGGTTTTTTGGGGGTTGGCCTGTTTTACAGGTCTTGTGGTGTTCTGGTGGTAGTTATAACTTAGCTCTTGTAAGTTGTAACTTTCTCTCTTTGGTAATAAAATCTTATTTTCCAAAAAAAAAAAAAAATTAATATAAGGTAGGTTTGAGCACCAAAGTTGCACTACGTAGCGATCATAGCGGGGTTTGGATCCACTCACGGATCACAACCTTCATAGTTTGGACAAATGTTGTGTTTTACATAACCAATTCCATTGGGGTTTTTTTTATTTGGGCAGTTGACATAAATGTCATTTTTTGTAAGTGGGATTTTTGTGATCGTTGACAGATTCACTCAGAAAAGCAAAACGAGTCACCTAGGTTGAGGAAAATCACCCCAATTAGTGATTATATTTACAAAAATGTCTTTAGCACAAGACAATTCAACAAATGCATCCCAATTGACGACTTTTAGTGGGTCAAGGTATTTTTTCGAGTGAAACTGTAAGGGTTCACTATGTAATCTCATTTTAAGTATAAAATCACTCACGAGTAGTTTTTGTAAGGTTTTAAGGGTTATGTGTTTAGGCTTAATGAAATTGGCAAAATAAAACATGACACCTGTCAAGGCCTTACTTCCAAATAAAAGAGAACAATAAACAATTTAATCATATCAGATTGTCAATTAATCCATCGGGTTATTATAATGGGATCTGGGCTTATTTTTATGGAGATGGATAATTGATACAACCTTATACAACTAAATGATTAATCTTAGCCTCATGTTTGGAAATGAGGCCATAACCTTATATTAACTAACATTCATTATTGAAAAGAAAAATGCAAAGTTATGATTCATTCTTGTGTTATGGAAAGGGTTTGAAATAAAAATAGTTCATAAAATTATAAAAGTTTTTATTTCTAAAATCGTCATAAAAAAAAGTCAACGATTCTTAAAATATCATTTATTTTCGATATCATCTTAATGTAAGATTATGTTTCCTCAAAAACAATAATTTAAGAACAAAAAATTAATGTTTATTAAAACTCTTATTTCTAAAGTCATCTCTAGAATAAAGTTCCTTAACCTCTTTTATTTCGAAAATCATCTTTAGATTAAATTAAGACATCATAATAATAATAATAATAAAAGATAATTAAAGTTCCATGAGTTAAAATTAAGACATCATCTTAGACAAACACATGAATGCGTTAACACTATATACTTTAAATGCATAAAAAATGAAATGCAAAATGCAATTAACCCCCATTTTTTTATAACCTATCAACTCACCAGCTTGGCTTTCTAATATGGAGTAATGAAATATTTAGGGCTAATTTATCACCTAATATCGTCGTTACTCCTATTGGTAACATCACATGGGAACAAACACATTAGCTAGCATAATAATAATAGTTAAGGAAATTAAGAAACGAATAAGGATAATACCTTGAACTAGATGTAGCTATTTTTTGGATAACCCCTTTTGCCTATCAAGGATTAAAAGATGATAACTCCTTAATTAAAGTGAAATAAGAGAGACTACTAAGTGATACATTTTGGAATTTTTTAGATATTAAAAGAAATTAGTGCAAAATAAAGTTAATGACCCTTTCTTTCTTATTTTTTATTAAGGAAAATAAACTCGAGAAATAAAACTAAATCTTGAGAGATAAACTCTTTTTTTTGGTTTTAATGAACACTTAAGCAATTAAACTTAATTTTTTGAACAACGATAATAAAGAAAAATAATACTTGAACTTAAAATATTTTTTTCTTATGGTTTTTTTTTTTTTTTTTATAGAAATTAAAGATAATAACAATACTAAACTAAAGATGATGACTTAATTAGATAATTCTTTTTATAAGCTAATAACTTAAAAATAAAGCTAAGTTAAAGTGATTTTAACTAAAGCAAAAGATTAGACGAGAATTTTAGAGAGAGAATTAGTAGGAAATTTTGGTGTGTTAAAATGAGAAAATAGGGGGTATTTATAGTAAAATAAAGGGGTTAATTTGTAAATAAAATAAAATAAATAAAAGGTAATTCAAGGATTTAAATGGTAAATATCAAGATTTTGGTAATAATGAAGATCTTGATATTAAATTCTTTTTTTTTTATGTAACAAACTAATTAATTGTCTTACAGCACTCAAACTAATAAAATAAAGAAAATTGTAACTAAATCATACTCTAATAATGATAAAAAAAAAGTTCTAAAATGCCACGGTATTACAAAAAGAAGATGTATATAACTAAGTCATGTCAAAACTCAAAAATACTCACGTGGTGTACATATGACAGAGTACCTAAACCTACTAAGTGATTATTATACTCACCAAGGTACTAAAACAACATATATAAAGTAAATAACTCCCTAAGATGTCAGCTCGGAAAGTTACTCAAAGACATAAAGTTACAATACTTGTAGGGTAAGATAAAATATTTTCAGAGCTTATATATAAAAATAAGAATTAATCTATGCCCTTATTAGACATTACATATAAATTTACCAAAGAGCATCTAACCATACGACAAAATCTTATATGCACAAGCATTACAATTAATGACCCTTACTAAAAAAAGTAAAGTAATGTAAATCATATAAAAAAGTCATATAACATAAAAATTGACGTGGTCAAAGTAAAAATATACTATGTAAAACCATATAACAAAAAAGTTGACATGGTTAAGAGTAATAATTATTAAGTTATTGAGTCATACGACATAAAGTTAACGTGGTCAAGAGTAAAATATATTCCCTTAACCGAACAACTTTTTACAAAAAGTGAACTATTATTCTGTCTTACTCTATTAAAATACAAATTTATATTTATTACGGTCATATTATTTCACCATCGACGATGACAAGAGATACAAAATTAGACGAAAACAAACTAAAAAAACGAAAAAAAATCAACCAAAGGGGACATGATCCATAAAAGGGGCTTCACCATCATGAAGTGGTTGTAGCTAATTGCTACAAACTCAAATTACTACTATAGCTCCATGCATATTCATGTCCCCATAATCTGAATGATCACTGTTACTCCATACGTTCATATCCCTTACAATTCGCATTATATTTCAAAAGCTAACGATACTATACTATGCGTCTTTATATATTTCGGCAATTATCGGCCCGTTTTACTCTTATCCACATACTTGCTTCTTCTCGATAGAAGATCATTGATTCAATCGATCCGAATTGATAATTATCAGAAACAATGTTAATAGCGAGATAAAAAAGAAAGTAGCATTATTTCACTATTGTCGATTGTTCATCAAAATTAACGAAAGGATAAAAAATTTAGACCGAAATAAGCAAGGCATAAAAAATAAATAAGATGAATAAAAAATAAAAAGAAAAGAAAAAGAAAGAAAAAAAAACAAAACGAAAATAAATGTCAGAAAGCCCATCCTATTATACTTTCCACAAAAGTGTAGATACCCAAATGTGTCTTCCCAAAAACCAAACTCAGTGATGAATACTCTTCACGTCACTTGATTATCGGATGAGGTGAAGTGTGAAAAGTATTGTGATGTGTTAGTTTTAATAAAAATATTTCTTTCTATTTTTTAAAGTCTTCTCTATTTTTGAAAATAACCATTCAAATTTAGCTTGGTCGATGATATGGGTCCAATAATAGTGTATTTAGGTCAAGCTCATAAAGAACATTCCAATGATATATTATAAGCCCAATTCCGATGAATAATTAAGAAGTTATGGTCCAAACACTAATTTGGGTCTAAAATGGTTTTATGGCCGAATGATCTAGTTTAGGGCCAATTAATTATTATTCCTAAAATTATTAGGATTGATTATAGTCTACTAGAATAGTCTAGAAGGTTATTTTGAGTTATATTAGCATTAGGATTGATAATTAATCTTATAGAAAAAAACAATGAATTTGTTTTGAAAAAATACAAGTGTTTTATTATGAAAAAATTTGATTTAAAACTGATTAAAATGGAGTTTTGATTGCTTAGTTATATTAAGAAAAGGATTCCGTACTAAAAGCGCGTTTTATCTTTTAATTGTCGCCAAACGACAAGCCTGTCGCCAAACGACAGGGCTTGTCGGCTTGCGTGATTCCTGTCGCATGGCGATAGACTCTATCGCTCGCGACGGGGATTAGTTTTATTCCAATTCAAATTTTGATTTGTTTCTATCGATTCTGGACTATTTTCTTATAAATAATGGTCGTATTTCCCCATTTTCATTTATTAACAATCATAAAAATTCATCTATTCTCTCTCTCTCTAAAAGCTAGAAGTTTATTCTCTATTTATTCTTTTTCTAAACCTTCCCCTTTTCAAAATTCCACATTTCCAAGTTCTAGACACACATAGCGAAGTTCGGAGTTGCCTTCGCTCTTGACGTGAAAGGTTGATAATTTCTGAGGGTTTGGTCCCAAATCTCTATTTTAATTATTATTTAATTGTTTGATTTAATATTTTCCTTGAAGTTACTAACGTGTGTATTTTGTTATTAGAAAGAGATAAGAAGCATCCAAGTAAGTAATTTAATTGTTATTCTTTTCATATAGAAAGCATGTTTATATTATTTTGATTCCTAGTATCATGTCAGGATGTCTTTGTGATTCCTAGTATCATGTTTAGGGTAATAACTAATATTTCTAATATCATGTATGTTTCTAGTATCAAGGCCAAACCGCTGGCCATTTAAAAAAAAAAAGTGGGATATACCCTTTTCTTCTCCTCCCTGCAAAATTTCAGCGCACTTCACTTAGCTTCTTCGTTCTCACTTCACTCCTCCTCTCTGTCTCCCGCCTTCACTCCTCCTCTCTATCTCCCTCGTCCTCACGTCTCTTCTCACTTCTTCAGATTCCAGCCACCACCACCACCACTCCATTCATATTCAATT